ATTGACAAACAATTGTAATACCTCTAAACAACAAATCCCTCCAACAGACGCCTATTGAACCTCTTGGAATTGTTTATTTATTTGTATTCTGACACATGAGGATACGTGGACACATGGAAAATTTGGATGGACACGGATAAAGTGTCTTTGCATATATGTATATTAAGCTGAGATTTTGACAGACAAGCGTTTCCAGTTACAAATGTGAACCATTATTCCCAAGATTCAATAACAGGATTGCATAATTGTTGAGTATTACTTGCAGACATTCTTACCGAGAGCGACACCAGTAGCAGCTGCTTGGCCATGTTGAAGACTGTGCAACTGATGGAGACCAGCTGATAGTGAGCAGGTGATGGTGACCAACTGATAGTGAACAGGTGATGGTGACCAGCTGATAGTGAGCAGGTGATGGTGACCAACTGATAGTGAGCAGGTGATGGTGACCAACTGAGCACTGTAGATGCAGGCGTGCACTACTGCTACAGTTGTCTTAGAGGCAAGACTTATATCCCAACGATTATCACACCGACACAGTTGCAAGAATGGCGAGAAACCTCTTCATATCAAGCAAATACAGATAAACAACTCATGGAACTGATAATTAATTGTCCATTAGAGTTATATAAACAAATTAAAATATCAACTCACTAACCATATTTTCCCGTCTTCGTCTTGTGTCTGAGAAAACACAAAAGGGGAGAACTCAACACGACAGATCGGTGCGATAAATTAAGGAAAGAGGTTAGTAAAGAAATTAGAAATACCGAAAGATTTTACGAAGTTAAGGTAGCAATTTATGTGACGTTGAATCTTAAAGCAATTATCCAACTCTACAAAAAAGGAAGACTGTGATAAGGACAGAATCATTGAAAACAGTATCCAGGGAACTATTTACTAATGTAAATTGGGGAAGTTGGCAATATACTAATTAAAATCGGTCCTCACAGAGGAAAACTTGAAAATTTATTCAACATTGAAGCAATCAACCAAGACATTGAGGAAAACAAACTAAATAAAATACAAATATAAAAAAAGAATTTAGTAAACAGATTGAGTGGCTTAAGCCAAGTAAATCTATCTCATGACGAGGTATTCAGGAGAGGCATAAAAAAATATTAGGAGGAACTCAGTGAGCCTCAAACGAGAATATTGCAAAAATATATCGGAGCTGACATTGTGCCAACAGCCTGGAGGGTTACTAAAGGGGTCCCAATATTAAAGAAGGAGGAGAGAGTTCTTGCTACATCTATAAGCTTGACATTAAACTTGTAAAAGCTCTTAGAAGCAGTAATTGTATATTACATGAAAATCATGTACAAAATTACAAGTTGATAAGAGACTCAACACGATAAGAGATAAGGTTGATAAGAGACTGTTCTACCAATTTACTATTATTTTTATTCCAGTATATTCAAGGTATTTGACAACAATAATATATACGGTGTTATATAACTGGACCTCAACAAGGCCATCGACACAGTTCCTTATGAAAGGCCCCTTAGGAAGGTCGAAGCACATGACGCTGGCAGACATTAATAACATTAAACTGGATCAGAGTATGGTTGAGAAACAGAAAACAGTGTCAGTATAAATGGAGTGAAGACCGACTGGACGAATATCACTAGTGGTAGTGCCATAGTATTTGACCCACTGCGTTTAATCATTTACCTCATAGACCTGGATACCGGAGTAACCAGTAATATTGGCAAGTTTCTGGATGACAGTGACAAGGCGTATAGTGGATACATAGACGACTTGAATGAACTGCAAATAAACTTCTAGCATTTCTGTCTCTGCCTGTTTTATGATTCAAAACGTAATGTCATGGACGAAGGAATATATATGATGAAGGTCTTGAAGTGATTGAGGAACATAAATAAATGGTATAAAGAGGTTTCTGAAACTGACAGAACAGGTTTGGACCCACGACAATTTGAACATGCTAAATAAATATTATTTTAGGAGAATTATGGTTTGTAAATAGAGTAATTTATGAGTATAATTAGTTGTCACTTAACATTTTTAAATACACATTTTAGCAGGTCTCAAGTGTAGATTGGACTGGTATATTGGCGAGAGTAATTATCAAAACGAAGATCTACACGAATGCTCTTATAGTCCCTAATTCTTTTGTTCTTAGTAAAAGTAGCTTTTACTGTCCATACGTGGTAACTCCTATTGGTCCATACGAGACAGCTCCTATTGGTCCATACGAGGGGGCGCTTATTGGTCTTTACGAGATAGATCCTATTGGTCCATTCGAGGCCACTTCTATTGGTTCATACGAGACAGCTATTATTGGTCCATACGAGACAGCTATTATTGGTCCATACGAGACAGCCATTATTGGTCCATACGAGACAGCATCTATTGGCCCATACGATACAGCTCAGATTTATATTCCCACAAACACATTTATATATGCCTAACCTTCGATTGAACCAATCCAACGATTCCACGTCTATTATGCTAGCCAGAAATTTTATCTATAAAACTACAATCCAGTTTCTAAATCAGTATTTAACCGTCTTTCCTGAATTTTAATCATTATTTCTTAAGAACTGACCTTCAGTGTTCTATGTTAATGTCATATGGAGAAATATGTCATCTGGTGTCCCGAGAAACCTGTTTTAGGCCCTTTAAGTTTCATAATATGTTCCTCGTTGTTCTTGTGAACAATATTATCAGCAAACTTGCGGATATTTCTGTTGCGGATATTATTGTTGTGGATATTACTGTATTGCGGATGTTAAAGTGAGTCGCGTAGTAAACACGAGTGAGAATACAATAAATCACTACAAGACCTCTCGCATTGCTGAATTTATCAGTAAAGTAATAGTTAGGAAGTGACATTCTCACCAAGAGTTGGGTGAACGATAGACAAATCGTGTTGTAGAAGTTACTTGAGGTCATAAGACTTGGACTTGGTCCTGGTTGACAAAGAGGTTATGATTAAAATTGTCAAAATAGATAACAACCATAGTAAAAGTGATAATATAAAAAGTAGAACTGGTATCACCTAGGAAAGCTGCGTCAACAATAATAAAAGTCCTAGAGAGGTCAAAGTCAAAAGTCGCTCAAGTAAATAAAATGTTTAATACGAACATTAAATTAAGAACATTAAATATAATTTATAAATACTGTAAAAATAGAACAAGGAAACAAAATAACGAGAAAACATAGCTCAAATGACAACTATCAGAACTGGATGACAAACGAAATTAAATAACTAATAAAGCCCCCAAAATTAAACTCCTTCAAGAAAATAAACGAGGGAGCTCCACCTAATTGATCAGTTCACTAAACTAAAAAGAAAGTCAAGCAAGAAATAAGAAAAGGCAAAAGAACTCCAGAAGCTAAGAGTGCCAGAGATGCGACGCTCAATACTCAAGCATATTTCCTACTATATAAAGCAAACGTAGTTGAGAGGACATGAAGAGGGAGAAATGAGTAATATACTAAATAGTTATATCAGTCATTACAACATACAACTTAAATCGGCCAGTCGTGGCGAAATATTCATGAGAGTATTCAAGGAATGCAAGGATTTGTCCTTAAGGAATTAGGGGCCTCTGAGAAGTATATTTAATACTTCAGTTCATGTTGTGGTTGTTCCTACAGCCTGGAAGTTTTTTAACATGGTCCCAATATTCAAAACAGGGAATTAAAAATTTCTCTTGAAATATCAACCAAAAAATGTAAGATTCATTAAGAGAAAATTCCTGGAAACAATAATAAGGCATAAAAGAGGGGATGTAAAAAAAGTTTCAAGTATCTCAAAATAAAATAGAATACAAAAATATTTATATAAATTTGATCACTTTACATACAGTAAAGACCTGGGTGAATACTGGTTTGGAAACAGAGTTGTTAATTTATGGAACAAATTACCAGGTAACATAATAGACGTGGGGTCACTTGATTGTTTCAAACGTAGGCTACACATGATAATATCTAACCTTGATCCATGACAGACCAAAATGTAGTCACTTCTGATTAAGCAGATTTGTTGGCTGAGTGTCTGATTTTCAGCCACGTTATTGCGAATTACGTTCTGCGTATATGAGTGAATGAATGAATGTCCATGAATATTAATAGGAGTTACCACGTATGGGCCAATAGGCCTTCTGGAGTTTCCTTTACTTTTGTGGGAACCAAAAAGCCTGCTTGCTGTGCTCCCTGATTCTTATATTCTTGTGAAAAAATTTTAAAGCAGCTAAATATAGGAGACGATGAGTCACAATAATGTGGCTGAAGATTTGATGATTTAACCATACAACAGAAGATGATGAATGGGCGACGTTTCGGTTCGTCCTGAACCATTATCAAGTTGATTAATTTATTATTATTATTCTTATAGATTATGCAATTCAGTTTTGGTCATTCATTATATTACAAAATTAACATAAATTTTTTGGAAAATATGGAGAGAGATCATGAATGCTTAATTTTCATTTTCTATAAAGGCGAGGAGGGAGAAGTGACATGATTGACATATTCATATGGATGAAAGGGTATTTTATGTGTATATTAATAAGTAATAAATATATCAACGCGAAACAATGGATGAAAATTTGATAAGGTTAGATTCACAAAAGACCTGAGTAAATACTGGTATGGAAGTAATGTTGTTGATTTATAGAACAAAAGGCCGGGTAACATAATAGACGTGGAATAGGAGATTGTGCAAGTGTAGGTCAGATATATAATGAGTTTGGATGGGAACAAATAGGAACTGCCATGTTGAGCCAATGTACTTTCTGCAGTTTCCTCTCTTCTTAAGTTTTGATGTCAGATGAGGCACCTAGTGTTTCTATGTAGGTGGCTGCAAGTAAAGAACGGGTGGTAACGTGAGGCCAGTGGGTGGTGGGCTCAGACCAGTGGGTGGTGGGCTCAGACCAGTGGGTGGTGAGCTCAGACCAGTGGGTGGTGGAGTGAGCCTAGTGGGTGGTGGGCTCAGACCAGTGGGTGGAGGCTCAGACCAGTGGGTGGTGGGCTCAGAGCGCTGAGGCAGTTCCCCGGCTGGACACAGTAAGGGTATGAAGGGTCCGGGTTGAAAAGCAAGGATCCTGTACAAGTCTCAACGGTGGCTGGCTGACCGATATTGCGACAGTTGAAGTACTGCTGGTCACACGTCGGGCATTTGGGGAATCGTCCCACTGCCGTGCACGTCATTGAATCCAGGCAGTCAGGAGATGGAGTAGTCGTACTTTCGCCGGGGACCGTGATGTCGCCACACACTGTGTTACAATCAACATCTGATGCACACGCATTCGATTCTGAATCAAAAATTTCATCTGATGGGCAGGTAGAATGATACATATCTTCGGCTGGTCCCACGGCGGCGCAGTAGTAGAACTTGTGGCAGTCGTAGGGGTCTTGGGTCTGTGCTTGCCCCTCCACGCACATGGCAACACACGGGTCACTGCAGCACACGGAGGAGCTCGCGGCACAGGCCCGGCCGGTGCTGTCAAAGTAAGGTTTGCCAGCAGGACATTCTAATGGTCCCAGAATGTTGCCACCCGAGCAAACGTAGTACATGTTGCAATTCTTCGGATCAGGAATCGCGTCCGGGTCGTTGGTGCATGTTGTGCGGCAAGGTGGTATTGTGCAGCTAGCGACGCAAGGTGGGGCACCATCAGCAGGTGTAACACACTCGAATGTGGTTGTTGCATCGAACTCTTGACCAGCTGGACAAGGAAATGAAATGACCGAGGGCGTTTCATCATCCAAACATATGTAATACTTAGTGCAGTTGGCAGGATCCGCTACTTTATCCTGAGGGAACTTGCCGCTACACACTGGCTTACAGGTTCCGGCAGGGAGGCCGCGGAGCAGCGCCGCCACCCACGCCACCTGCAACTGCACAGTGTTATTGTCAGTATTGAAACCAGTCATTGTAAATAAAATCGGATATTTTACAATAAAATCAAATAAGTTGTTTAATATGTATTGACCCACATAAAATTCAAATTATTTTAAGCCCGGCTGGGATTTTTAGTGTAAAAGATCTGAGCGGGTAGGTAGGTAGATACTGTGGTGCTTCCACACCAACCCTGGTTGAAACCTATTATTGTTATGATAATATTGGACAAATTAAACATTATCATGTTAGCAATATTGACAGTTGTTTGTTGTTTTGTTATCAGTGTTGATATAGTAGCAAGTGTTGTTATAGCTGTTAGCGTTGTTATAATATGTCCAAATTCAACCAGTTGCAATTGGGGACCTGGTTGTAAACAGACTGCTGGGTCATGCTCTAGGAAAAACTAGTGGGAGGAAAGTTCACTACGAGTTACGGGAATGGAAAGTTATAATTTTCCCAACAAGCATCAAATATCGTTTGTTTTTGTACACATCTGTGTAACAAAGCCAGTTTGGTACACAAATGTCATTACTATTTTAATATTATTTATTATATTTTTAATAATAATTATTACTATTGCAATATATCAACGACATAAATGCTCTAGTTGATCAGCTACATCAACAAGGTTGCCGACGTTTACAATGATAGGTCGTGCAGTGAATACAAAAGAAGGCTCCAATGAACTACAAAGAGCCTTCAACTAACTGCAATTCTATCCTATAAAATGACAAATACAGTTTAACATTGAGAAATGCAAATTTCTTAAACTATGGAAAGCCAGCAATGCTCGTGAATGTATTTATTAATACATTCGAAGGTAGATAAGTATAGAGACAGGGTAAACATCGACCTAAGAATAAGAAAACAAGGCATGAACTAAAGCAAACAGGATGCTGGGAATTATAATAAGTAGCCTAATCCTTGAATCTTATGAAGCACAGTTCAGAGGCTCTGCGAATTAGCTTGGTTTGGTGTTGGACTCAAGGATTAACCTCTGAAGGGATATTATGGCCACCACAACAGTTGATTGACCAAGCAGCAAGTATACATTAACCCAGAACATAGACAAGGACTACAGTAAACTCTCAGTATATACAATGAGAGATGGGGTCTACCTCAGTGTATATTAGTTCATACATTTATAAGAAATAATTCAGGCTCAATAACGAGTTAAATATTTGTTAAAACCTAGGAGGGGAATTAACGTAAGTGTTAAATATTGTAATCTTGAAAGATAAGGTGATCTATAAAATCGGTTTAATTTCTCAAATATAAGATAGCCTCTTACAATGGTTTTTCAAATAACTGATAGACTACTCAAATTCGACAAACCAGTGAAGCTATTTTTTTGTTTTTATACAAGTGATAATCATGGGAATAATTTACAAAAGGCTGGACATTAACAATACAATCGTAAAAGCGTTTATAAAGAAGGTAAGCAAAGTATTTTTTCTTTAAAACTCCGAAATGCATTTTCCCGCTACCCAAAGATTTATTAGAAACAAAGAGCGTTTTTGAGCTCAGTGTTGGTATGCTTCATTATCTTTTTAGATTTAGACACGTGATCTCCATAGACATTCTCTTGATCACGGGTGAAGTATCTTCAGGTGGAAATTTTAAAGTAATAATTCTATGAGACAGACAAGAACCCACGTAAGAACTACTCGTCCTCTCGGCTAATACAGTGTATGTTGACGTATAAATCCCCAACGTCAAAATATGATGCACTATAAATCATAGCGGCTCATGAAATTGACGGGTTGTCTTATTTTCTATTTGTGGGACCTCGAATGTTATAATTTAGGATCGGGCAATTGATTACATCAGTTTTGTGACGTTGTGAAAGCTCGAGAGGACGGACTGAAAAAATATACACAAATATTGTTTCCCCAAAATATAAGTTGCTTTCAAAAAACTCGGTAGTTTACTCAGTAAATTACTGAGTTTTCTGTATCTTTCAAATATGGAAAGGTTTGTATAATTCTTAGAAATCCCTTGTGGATATTCTTACCGAGAGCGACAACAGCAGCAGCTGCTTGGTCATGTTGAAGACGCTGTACAGCTGACGGTGAGCAGCTGAAAGTTAACTGGCGAGCGCTGTGATGCTGCTGACCTTTCGTCTCGATGCGGCTTCTGTTGTTTTGTGTTCCTTGGAGCAAGTTGGCTGGGTTGGGTGGTTGAGGCTTACTATGGGTGCAGGAGTCTATTGCTGCTACTGCTGCCTTGGCGCCAACATTTATACTCTAATCCTTATCACAGCGACGTAGTTGATAAACCGTCAGCGAACCTATTGACGCTGAGTAAATACTTTTAAAATCATATTCGCATTTTAATACATTTTCATAAATTTCCGACATTAAACTATCAAAATGTCCATTTCTAAATTACTTCTTCCTCTACTGTCCTGGTAATGTTATTTTTAGTCTTCCTTCTGTACAAGTGACTATCAAGCCCAGAGGCATTTGCGAGGATTTACACGATAAATGACTAGAGTAAAAATATGTTAACAGGTGGGAAATTTTCAAGCTGTCGTGATGTTACTGAGGTTACTGAAAGATATAATGCCTGGGAGAAATTGATAATGCAAATTGTCATAAAAACGAGAACGTTTAGGATATCGCCTGTTGGTTGAACGTATAAAAATGGAATGACACGTTTTCCATTATTATGTTTGCATAGGGCATGACAAAGAACGGAACAAATTTATATTTTATATATTTTTTACTCCTCAGAAGTGATGTGGGTGGTACCTTCGACGACAAGTCAGTTCAGCCAGGGCAGACCTGAACTCAGGGCGTGTTCCAGTGAACAGCCCACAGCTGTTCAGCCCAGTGAACAGCATACTTTTTCCTGGCAGATAGTGGCCTGAGTCAGTGGAGACTGTGATTTGTCTGTGATAACCAGTGAAGTTTTAATGAATGGACGGATGAATTCCAGGATAGCCCAGTAGAGTTACGAGACGGTATTAACGTCCGTTTGTTAAGGCTTGTTATAGTTGAAGCCCGTGTGGAAGCCAGCCAGTGTGTTGCTGGAGACCCCTGCCAGTGTGTTGCTGGAGTGTGTTGTTGGAGACCCCTGCCAGTGTGTTGCTGGAGTGTGTTGCTGCCAGTGTGTTGCTGGAGACCCCTGCCAGTGTGTTGCTGCCAGTGTGTTGCTGGAGACCCCTGCCAGTGTGTTGCTGGAGACCCCTGCCAGCGTGTTGCTGGAGACCCCTGCCAGTGTGTTGCTGGAGACCCCTGCCAGTGTGTTGCTGGAGACCCCTGCAAGCGTGTTGCTGGAGACCCCTGGCAGTGTGTTGCTGGAGACCCCTGCCAGCGTGTTGCTGGAGACCCCTGGCAGTGTGTTGCTGGAGACCCCTGCCAGTGTGTTGCTGGAGACCCCTGGTAGTGTGATGCTGGAGACCCCTGGCAAGGTGTTGCTGGAGACCCTCTGCCAGTGTGTTGCTGGAGACCCCTGGCAGTGTGTTGCTGGAGACCCCTGGCAGTGTGTTGCTGGAGACCCCTGCCAGCGTGTTGCTGGAGACCCCTGGCAGTGTGTTGCTGGAGACCCCTGGCAGTGTGTTGCTGGAGACCCCTGCCAGTGTGTTGCTGGAGACCCCTGGCAGTGTGTTGCTGGAGACCCCTGCCAGTGTGTTGCTGGAGACCCCTGCCAGAGTGTTGCTGGAGACCCCTAGCAGTGTGTTGCTGGAGACCCCTGCCAGTGTGTTGCTGGAGACCCCTGCCAGTGTGTTGCTGGAGACCCCTTACAGTGTGTTGCTGGAGACCCTCTGCCAGTGTGTTCCTGAAGACCCCTGCCAGTGTGTTGCTGGAGACCCCTGGCAGTGTGTTGCTGGAGACCCCTGCCAGTGTGTTGCTGGAGACCCCTGCCAATGTGTTGCTGGAGACCCCTAGCAGTGTGTTGCTGGAGACCCCTGCCAGTGTGTTGCTGGAGACCCCTGCCAGTGTGTTGCTGGAGACCCCTTACAGTGTGTTGCTGGAGACCCTCTGCCAGTGTGTTCCTGAAGACCCCTGCCAGTGTGTTGCTGGAGACCCCTGGCAGTGTGTTGCTGGAGACCCCTGGCAGTGTGTTGCTGGAGTGTGTTGCTGCCAGTGTGTTGCTGGAGACCCCTGCCAGTGTGTTGCTGGAGACCCTGGCAGTGTGTTGCTGGAGACCCCTGCCAGTGTGTTGCTGGAGACCCCTGGCAGTGTGTTGCTGGAGACCCTTGGCAGTGTGTTGCTGCCAGTGTGTTGTTGGAGACCCCTGCCAGTGTGTTGCTGGAGACCCCTGCCAGTGTGTTGCTGCAGACCCCTGGCAGTGTGTTGCTGGAGACCTCTGCCAGTGTGTTGCTGGAGACCCCTGGCAGTGTGTTGCTGGAGACCTCTGCCAGTGTGTTGCTGGAGACCCCTGCCAGTGTGTTGCTGGAGACCCCTGGCAGTGTGTTGCTGGAGATCCCTGCCAGTGTGTTGCTGGAGACCCCTGGCAGTGTGTTGCTGGAGACCCCTGCCAGTGTGTTGCTGGAGACCCCTGCAAGTGTGTTGGTGGAGACCCCTGCCAGTGTTGCTGGAGACCCCTGCCAGTGTGTTGCTGGAGACCCCTGGCAGTGTGTTGCTGGAGACCCCTGGCAGTGTGTTGCTGGAGACCCCTGCCAGTGTGTTGCTGGAGACCCCTGGCAGTGTGTTGCTGGAGACCCCTGCAAGTGTGTTGCTGGAGACCCCTGCCAGTGTGTTGCTGGAGACCCCTGGCAGTGTGATGCTGGAGACCCATGCCAGTGTGTTGCTGGAGACCCCTGCCAGTGTGTTCCTGAAGACCCCTGCCAGTGTGTTGCTGGAGACCCCTGCCAGTGTGTTCCTGAAGACCCCTGGCAGTGTGTTGCTGGAGACCCCTGCCAGTGTGTTCCTGAAGACCCCTGGCAGTGTGTTGCTGGAGACCCCTGGCAGTGTGTTGCTGGAGACCCCTGCCAGTGTGTTGCTGGAGACCCCTGCCAGTGTGTTGCTGGAGACCCCTACCAGTGTGTTGCTGGAGACCCTGCCAGTGTGTTGCTGGAGACCTCTGCCAGTATGTTGCTGGAGACACCTGGCAGTGTGTGGCAGGAGACCCCTGCCAGTGTGTTGCTGGAGACCCCTGCCAGTGTGTTGCTGGAGACCTCTGCCAGTGTGTTGCTGGAGACCCCTGGCAGTGTGTTGCTGGAGACCCCTGCCAGTGTGTTGCTGGAGACCCCTGCCAGTGTGTTGCTGGAGACCCCT